GCTTTCTCATCACAAAACAAGATTGGGGATTTTAAGTTGAGATCAACTTCTACGCTGATCCTCGCGAATTTCCCCTTTTCCACTGCTTGTATGCTCACTTCTTTATTGTTCCCTGTCTCCGATGGTCGACGAGAGGAGGATGGTGATTCCGCCATTGATGGAACTAATACTAGGTTTGCTGTGCTGGGGATTGTTAGTTTCATTCCTTATTTTAACTGACTGGTAATCTGCTGTTCCTAGTCTTTCCTCTTTATTTGCTCAAAATATACAATTTGATTATTGAAAATTTAGCTCTTGGACCTTGAATTATCTGGTTTAGTTTAAACTGCAATGCAATCCACATATTGAGTTAGATATCATTTGATCAAATGACAGTACAAAAATGTATTTCATTAGAACTTGAGGATTAATTCATGCGCTGAAATAAATCTGAATGCTAAATTTACTCTTAATTTTGTGATAGTCAATCTATTGTAATTATCTTGCTTGAAGTTTTTTGGTTGATAGAGTTGGGCTTTTGCATGGCTTGACACTAGGAGTGTAACATCTGCAAATTTTATAGGACATAGATCTCACAAGTTTTGAATGAAAACCCGGGCAGTATCCAGACTGATATTTTTGAAATATCAGTTAAAAAAGATTTGATTAAGAAGTCAGGATAGAAATTCTCAAAAATTCTGAAAAAATTATGTGAAATACAATAAAGGGTCAAGGAATAGTGTTTGAGGTCCCAGAAAAATTATTGAAAGAAAAATAAATAAATATAAAATTTTCTATATTTATAGAAATTTTTGGTTACATTGAGAAATAGTAACAAAATTAATTATTTAAAATACCTAGAGGCCTCAATAATTCTAAAAAAAAATATGAAAAATTTTGTTGAAGGATTATAGTAATTTATAAATTGTCCCTAACTTCAAATGATGAGAAAATTAGCTTTAATAATATTTAAAGCAAAATTATATCGTAAAGTGCCGTTTCGGGAAAAAAATGAAATTTAGGGAATTCATGACGGAACTAAATTCTGAGAAAAATCATGAAAATTCCCTACACTAAGAGGAAGGTAATGGTGCACTAAGATGAATTTTCTAAGACAGTCAATTAAATAGGATACAAAAAAAATTTATCTGGTACTGCACCGGTACTCAGTGCGATGTAAGGATAATCGAGGAAGTGCATTTTTCTGCAAATTTTTTCAGTCCAAATGGCCCATGTGTCATGCCATTTTTGGCCTATTTTGGAGGAAAAACATTTAATGAAAAACGAAAATAAAAATATGTTTATAGAAGGTGGCTAATTATGGTGACTAAGGAAGTTAACCAAGATTAGGCTAATTAATCTTGGTATGACATAAGCAAGTGACATCATCATCATGACTTCATGTGGACATGTGGCAAGATCACATTTATGAAGCATAAGATTTATCTATATGTAAAGTAACAAAAAATGAAGGGTTGAAATTTAGCTACCTACCACTTGTAACTTTGTTGAAATTTAAAGGCAAACAGTTATTGAAAAGGCTATAAATATCCCCTTCCAATATATGATTTTTGGCTAAGAGAGGAAAGCTAGGGGAGACCTTGTTGCACTTGATTTTAGAGAGAGAAAAGACAACTTTTAGAGAGAGAAAGTGTCTGCAAGCTTAAAAAATTGTCAAGGTAAGCTTCTAACTCTCTTGTGCTTTGATGTGGGGTTGTTTTATGGCATTTCTATATGGTTTGGATGGCCATTTGGGAGAAAATAGCCAAGTGTTGAAACATAAATTAAACACTTGAAAAGTATAGGAACTAATTGGTTATGATTGAGTTTTGAAAAGAAAATCAAACTCCTTGAACTTAAGTATCAATTCAGCCAAGATGGGAAAGTAGGGTTAGAGTTAGATTCAATTCAATTTGATACTTTCAATATGTTTAAATGATGAAATGGTGTAGGGAACCATCAAGAAAAGAAGCTTGGAAGAATTAAAAGTGAAAATGAAAATTTTGAAATACCTATATTTCGACCAAAATGAGTTCAATAGGGAGGAATTGAATTTTCATAAATTTAAGTTGATAATTAGATTCTACATAAAAAAATTATGTAAAAATGGCTCAAGGGAATTAAAGAATCAATGTTAGAAATAATAACTGAAAAATCAAGTAAAAAGGGATTAAAGGTTATTATGATGATGGAATAATAATATGTGATGTCCTATTGTGTTACCAATAGGTTTTTTTTTTTAATACACTGGAAAATAAAACAAGAAACAAGACAAGGAAAGCTAAGTAATGTCCAAAAACGCTATATACTCCACTACTGAGTCTCTGCTTAGAATCTGGTAGGGGTGTTCAATTTGTCCCGTCCCGGTCGTTCCGTCCCGGTCCCGATGAGTTCGGGACAGGACGAGATGGGACAAAATAAATTTCGGGACGGGACAAAAATGGGACGGGGTCGTCCCGTCTCGAGATTTTTTTTTCTTTTAAAAATTATTTATTAATAATTATTATTAGATTATCCAATTTACTTATTAATAATAACTCTTATTTTTATGGTGATTTGTAGCTCTTAAGTTGTAGTATTATCTCAACAAAATCTCCTTCCTAAATAAAATAATTCATAAAGTCATTATATAGTGTTTTTTTTTACGATATTTTTTTATAGTATTATTTTTACACCTTTTTTATGCTATATAATTAAGCTTTCTACATAATATTTTTTTTATAATGTTTTTATCTTTAAAAGCCCAATAAAAATAAGTATTATAACATAAAAAATTCATATAAAAAATTATGGTATCTTTTTTTTTTAAAAAAAAAAAGGGAAGTGGGACGTCTCGGTCTTGTCCCGATTCCGTCCCACAGGACCGAGACGGGACGGGACGGGACACGGGACAAAATCCCTGTCCCGTCCCTGTTCACCGGGACGGGACTAGGACGAGCCTGTCCCGGTCCCGTCCTGTCCCATGAACACCCCTAGAATCTGGACTCCCGAAGCTCCCTTCAGTGCCTTTTTAGCGAGTGCATCTGCCATGGCGTTATCATCTCTATCGATCACTTGGAGATCAACTTTCCAATCCCTTTTCAGCATATTCTGAATTTCAGAAGCTACGCACAAGTCCTCATGGAGAGAGTTATCTGCACCAGTTATCATCTGAACAACTTCAGATAAGTCGCAACGTAGGGCTATGTCTTTCTCTCCCAAGTCCCAAGCTCGATTCAGTCCCTATATACAACCCCATAGTTACACTGTGAGATTATCACTGTTATCAAGTCTATAAGTAAAGCATTCAATAACCTCGTGTGCTGAGTTTTTCATGACACCGCCACAAGCTGCATTGTGTTGCCATCAACTTCCACCATGAGCATGGTGTCCCTGGTTTCTACCTGCGGGCGGGGATGTGATTGTTGTGTGGTATTCATCTTCACTCCTCTAAGGGCTCTCAAGGTATTCTTCATGCAGTTGGTTATTGCTAACGATCGTGCGGTCATGGAGTGTAAGTCTGACCGGGAGTTTGAGTGAAGAAAATCATTTCTGGCTTTCCAAAGAAGCCAGTAGAGAATGAAGAAGGTGCTAGCCCAGTTGCTATCCACTGAGCCCACTTTATTTGTCATGTTGAACTTGATCCAGTCTTGAAGATCAAGGGAGAAGAACCGTTGCTGGTGTATTGGTTCGATGATTGCACACTAGAACTTTCGCACTTCTAGGTAGTTACGCAGAGCATGAAGCTCATCCTCAGCCTCCTGTTTGCATTTGTCACAAAAACCATCTTGGTGAAGGCCTCTTTTGAGTTTCCTTTTGTTGGTAATGCAACATTCATGCTGTAAAATCCAAACAAAAGTTTTACATCTTTCAAGAATCTTGAGCTTTCAGATAGCTTTCTAGTTGTTGTGGGGAGTGCTACCTTCGTCGCTTAGAACTATGTAGGCAGATTTGGTAGTGAAGTTGCCACTCTTGTTCCATTTCCAGCAGCAGATGATGTTGCCCTATCTATCTTGGACTTCTTGGACTTCTTATATTCCGGCTGACACTTGATTCTAGTTGTTCTTTATGCCCCTCCAAGTATTAGACCCTACCCTCTTCGTATTAATCTAAGGTAGAAGGTCATTTCCACAGCCATACTATGTATAACTTGGGCCTAAAGAGAGTCCCTTCTTTGTACAAGTCCCCATCCAAGTTTCATTATGAAGGTGCGGTTTTGTTGTTTTATGTGTCTCATACCAAGGCCATCCTATTGTTTCTCCTTGCAGACCCCATCCCAAGCAATAAGGTGCATCCTTCTTTTCTCATAAGAAGAATCCCAAAGAAAGTCGCAAACTTTTTTCTCAATGGCTGCATATGTGCTGTTAAGGGTATATGTTGTTTGCATCACGTAGGGAGGCATAGCATTTATTATTGATTTGACAAGGGTACTTCAACCAGCCATAGAGAGAGGCTATTTATTTTCCAGGAACTGAGACAGTACTTGATTTTATCGATAATGCTATTCTAGGTCTCTTTAATGACTCTGTCATGGTGGAGAGGGACCCCCAAGTATTTGCTAAGGTTTGTTTTTGGGTGAAGCCAAGTTCTGTGCTAAGTTGTGAGGCTCTCGTGTGATGAATGTTGTGAGAGAAGAAAACCTTTGTTTTCTTTTGGTTGACTTTTTGTCCCGATGCTTCACAGAAGCGCTTAAGGCATTCCTTAATGACTTCAACCTATTCTAAGTTAGACTCTGCAAAAATTAACATATCATCAGCAAAAAACAAATGAGAGATCGGAGGGTTGTTCTTACCAAGTTTTATTGCCTTCTATTAGCTTGAATTCATCTCCTCTTGAATAAATATGTGCAAACTTTTCCATGCAAAGAACGAACAGGTAGGGCGAGAGAGGGCTTCGGCACGAGAAGGATGAAAGATATCAGATTTGTCCCCTTCCCATATGATCTGCATAGAGGAAGTGGATTTGCAATACTAAATAACTCTTCTCATGGTCTCAAGTATGTTTAACTCCTCTAGGAACTTTAACACAAATTCCCATCTAACCTAGCCGTAAGCTTTCTCCAAGTCAATCTTTATAGCCATAAACCCCCTCTTGCCAGACATAGTTCTCATTGTGTTAATGACCTCCTGGGCAACAATGATATTGTTAGAGCTAGTTTGCCCAGGAACGAAGCTGCATTGATTAGGGGATATAATGCTTGGCAAGAAACACTTCATCCTATTAACAACCACTTTGGAGATAATCTTATAAATCACATTATCCAGACTAATAAAGCGAAAGTCTCTTATGGTCTCTGGGCAATCTTTCTTGGGAATGAGGACAATATAAGTATGATTAATATCAGCAATGATAGTTGGATTAGTAAAAGCTTGCTTCACTAATTTGATCATCGATGTGCCCACAAACTCCCATTGATTTTGGTAGAATAAAGCGTTAAGTCCATTCGGACCTGGAGATTTTAGGGCCCCCATGCTGAAGAGAGCCGCTCTAATTTCTTCCCTACTCACCTCTTTCTTCAGGAGACCTAATTGCAAGGGATCGACCTCAGGAAACAAGCTTGAGTAATTTGAGTTCATCTTTTATCCTCTTCTTTGCAAAACAAAGTGACAAAGAAAGAGGTTGCAATATTTTTAATTAGCTCTGTGTTATCTATCCAAACTCTGTTCTCCTGTTGTATGGCTTTGATTCTATTTCTGCGTATGCGTCCATTCGCTCTTGAATGAAAGTACTTAGAGTTTTTGTCCCCAAGAGCAAACCATTCGCATTTAGCCTTTTGAGCCCAGAGCAGATCCTCTTGTATGATGACTTCCTCTAGCTCAAGCTAGAGTTTACATTGTAGTTGATCCAAGAAGGAAGAGTTTCCTAAGGAGGCAATGCTCAGGGAGATACCCTCAAGCCTTCCCATCAACAAACTCTTTCTTCCTTTTCGGTGACCAAACGTAGTTTTGCTCCATTCCACGAGCTCATAGGTGAATTTATCAATATTGTTAACTCAGTTCGAATTTGGTTCCAACTTTTCTTTGACTAACCTGCTAAAGTCATCATGAAGAATCCAAGGAGCGTTAAATCGAAAAGGATGATGAACAGAGTTTTTTGAGAACATACCTGGCCGTAGTTGAAGAAGAATTGGTCTTTGATCAAATTTAAACCACGGAAGGTTTTTCATAATGGCATCAATATAAAGGCTCCTCGCCTTAGCATTGGAGAGAACTCTATCAATTCTGCTTTCACACCCATCTCTCTTCCATGTAAAGAAAGGTCCCGAGCAACCCATATCAATTAGTTCCATGTTATCCACCCAATCACTAAACTCCCTGTCAGCAGGGGTAGTCCTGTGTGCTGTAGAGCGGCGTTTATGGGAGAATAAGGTTGCATTGAAGTCTCCTCCTATAAACCAAGGCCAATCATTGCTTGAGTTCAACGCTTGGGGGCTATGCCAAAGCGATTGTTGAACTGTACTATTAGGACAAGCATACAGATATGTGATAAAGACTTTTCCTCAATTGCTTTTAATTACCACATGGATGTATTGGGTATTAACTTCCAAAACAGTGAGAGAGAAATTATCATTTGACTAGGAGATCCAAATACCTCCATGAAAGCCCGAAGCATCAAAGATTTCACAGTTTTGGAATCCCAAATTTTACTGATTTGTCTCGCCTTTTCTCTACTAGATTTGATTGCAAAGAGTGCACAAAAATCAACTTTGTATCTTCTTTTAATTTCTCTAATGAGTCTCGGAAAGACCTTGGACCCAATACCCTTATAATTCTAGAAGATGTAATTCATGGGTCACCCAAGGATTGGGGATATGAGCTTATAGACCCCAAATTGTTTTGGTTGTTATCTGTCCTGTTGTTTGCTGTTAAAAAATTGGTTGTCTGGTTGTTCTCGTTCAACACTGTTATCATGATTATGTCTACTATATTATTTATTTCTGTCTCTAGTGTAGATGCCGTATTCAGGGTTTCCAGAAAAACAACCTCATTGTGAGACGTCTTTAGAGCCTCTCTGGCACTGGTTGTGTTGCTGGGCCCATTTTCATTAAGGCCCATTAGAGCCTCAAAGGGGTTTTGGGCTTGCCAAAAGTCGGCCTTGGTAGGAGTCAACAGGTGTGATGTGGTCTTGGCTTTACACACAGCAGCTGCTGTTTTGTCTTTGTCCTTATTAGGATTTTTACTTTTGGAGTTCTTGTTCAAGCCCACCAGGACCCACCTCGTATTTTGCTGAGAGTCCTTCACTCCAAATCTAGAGTTGCTTTTTATATATTGCACAGCATCCACCTCATGATTTCTATTTAGGATTTCCTGTTGATTAACTTCATGCAGATCGATTTAATTTTGATTTGGTATTATTCAACGTCACTCTCTCGTGTGCATTCAATTGTAATCCAATTTTTTTGTGGTTTCCAAATCTTCTCCCCCTTGACTGTTAGAGTATGTTCCACATTCCATGCTTTTCCGCTGCCGGCGTACAAAAGCTGCCGGACTGTTCACCAATGGTTTGCTCCTTGATTTGACGCTTGGAGATCCCACTTTCAGAGACTTTATGCAGGTCTGCCGGAGGAGTGGAGTTCAACTCCATTGATTCCTCCTCTAGATCAATATTAACCTTGTCGATTGTCTTATTTCTAGGGGTGTTCGCGGTCTCCGTGTGAACAGTGTTGGTTTCAGGGGCGACGCACTTATCCAGACACACTTCTTTATGATGCCCGTACTTCCCACAATTGGAACATATGAGATGGAGGCCTTTATAAACTCCTACTCGGCATTTCCTGAATACATTGATGGCTGACTTGAGTTTTTCCTTAAGGCCTAACTCAATGCAGATGCGTGCGAATCGTCCCTTTTTGCTTGTGTACATGATCGAGTCAACCTTCAGAGTTTTAACAACCAGTTGGCCAATCTTGCACAAGCTTTCCATGTTAAAAAATTCCAATAGGAGAAGAGGTATGCGAACCCACACGGCAACCTTCTTCTCTACTTCTTCTTCCTAAGGGTCGAAGTTTGGTCTCCACCTTTGCACTATGAGATAGTGATCGGCAATCATCCAAGGTCCTTCTCTGTAGATAGAATTCATATCGTCTTCATCTTCGAAAGACACAACAAAGAATTCGTTGTCTAGGTCTCTCGTCGTATATAGTTGCTCTGTTTTCCACTGACAAGTGAGGTTCCCTTTCATCAACCACAAAGGTATGGTCTTTCCTAGCAATTTGATGATAAGTGACTTCTTCCACGGAGCACACCACCTTTCGTATTCTTCTCGGGTGACCCTCAATGTTGGGCAATCTTCTTCTTCATCGTCGGCCTGGTCCTAGTTTTGCTTAGATGCAGTATTTATGAAGTAGTTCTTGATACTGCCGAGATACTCGTTCCATGCATCGTCGAAGACTTTGCTTCCCTTCTTGTCGCCTGAGACAGTTATGTTCTCTTTTCCCATCAATTTTTCCTTGAAAGACTCGGTTTTGTCATGGTTCATCTCGTCTGCAGTGCCTTCCTTCCTTACTTTTTTGTACTTTTTCCGATGCCATTTGGTCGGATCACTGTCCTTGGACACTCCTCTGCCACTGCCGCTTTCAAAGAGGTGGAGACCAAACTTCGACCCTTGGGAAGTTTTCAACTTCACCTCTATTTTTGTGTTACCAATAGGTTTGACATCAAAAGAAAAGGAGTTTTGTTAAGAGGGGAAGCTTGAAGATTAAGGGATAAGTTTGAGAAAGGTGGCTAGCATTTACTTTTTAATGTTACCTCGCATTATATTTGTTGTTATATGTTATGCTATGTTGCTATACCATGATGTGGATGAAATTATGATGTTATGTGATGTTTAACTCTATGCATGTAATGCCTTGGCTAATGTAATATTGAGTGCTATGAATGAGAAACATGTTATTTCCTTTCCATGGCATGTGAATGAGTTAACAGCATGTGATAGCTAGTTCATGTAGCATGTACTATTTTACTTGAGTGTGACATTGTAAATGTGATGCTATGCTACTAATATTCCTATGAATCTTACCCCTCCCATGTTCAAAAAATCGTAGGGCCTGCAACATCAAGAGGAAAGAACAAGGAGATTACCAATGTATGAAGGAATACTTGATGTTGTGAAAGCTTATATGTTTTGGTCTTTTCTTGACAACATGGTGAATAATTTGTAAATATTCTTTTGAATGATACTTTACTATACTTTGATGCAAATATATGACAAACTATGCTATTATGCCCAATTATGTGGGAGAATGATAGTATGTGAAGCTAGAGTTTAAGTATGAAGAGGTAAAACCCAAAAAGGGATAAAAGTCAACCTTTTGAGAGCAACTTTGACCAATGTGGTTCTAGTCAAATGATGGAGTTTATCCATGAAACTTTTCAATCTAAGAGATTTCATTTTTCTCTTTAAGATGAGTGGTAGCACGCCTCAAACAAATATTTGTACAAGAAGTTATGTCATTCCAAAATTAGACAAAATCCTAAAAAATTAGCAAATCACCAAATGAACAGTAATTTTAGAAAATGGGCCTAAGTCTGAAGGCAAATTGATCGGTGCATTTTTTTTTCTTAAAAGATAATCCAAAAAGCTTCCAATATAACTTGGAATCACTCAATTTTGATTTTTTTTAAATTAATTATAAGTTTTCAAAGTTTCACTAAATTATGGGTTGCATTGAATAGTAACTTGAGAACAAGATTTTTCAAAGTTAAATTTTTCAAACCTTTGGCCATCAAATATGGTTCCATTTGTTTCTATTTGGTAAATTATTTGGTAAAAAATTAAGGTGCTACAAGGAGAAGACATGTATGCACTTGTCTATTTAGCCCCCTATCTAAGGTTGGAATCTCAAGATTAAACTTCAATTCTTTTTATTGCTTGATATTGAAGGTTCTCTATTTGGCCCCCTCATGTTGTTGATGCGCATGATGAAAGGTTTACTTACTTGAAAGTGTTCGTTACTTTGATATATTGAAGGTTATCTAAGGTACTGGCTCCTGTGTCGTACATTATGTTTTCTTGAACCAAAAAGAAAAGCTTTTTAATTATATATTATTATGGATATATCATATAAAACCAAAATCATTTGGTACTAATACTACCATATTACAATTCGTTAATGTGACATTTGCATAGTATCAAATTGATCTATTGCTATTTATAAAAGTAATACTTTTTGAATATACAAACACTTAAATATTTTTATGAGTTTATTGTTCCGTAAAAAAATTAAAATTCAACATATGAATAAATTGTGAACATTAGTTGCTTTGGTCTTTGATACCTGCTATGCTACTTTGGCAAACTCTCTCAGTGTCATAGATTTTAGGGCTCTTGAATGGGGATTATTTGTTTGAGAATATGCATAACAAATGTAGTTAATGTACAAGCTTCCCGCCATTTTGTAAGAGCTCCATTTTTGGGCAATCAATCTCATCTTAAAAAAAAAAAAAAGGGATATCTTGAATTTTTGTTGTAATTTGAGTCTTGGGACTTTGCATTTGATATGTGCCCCAAAGAGAAATAGAATCATCTTGCATTCATAATTAAATAAATAAATAGTAAAACATAAAATATTAAAGTC